TGTTACAGTGGAAATGGGAGGCTTTTATTTTGAAATTGTAATTTTGAAATTAGAAAGCACGCCACCGAATGGCAGGGATTGGTCAGAGTTTTTACAGACATGCAGCTCTCACAGACGTCTGATTTTTTTCTTTTTTTTTTTTTTTGTTCTTTTTTTGAATGCACAAGGTATTGACTACTCCCATTACAATCAATATAAAAAAAAGTGTTTTTGAAGGATTACCAACTTCAAACTTATCCACAGTTTCCTCCCTGGTCTGCTTCCTGTGTTCCTTGGTCTTCATGATGTATTTGTTCTCTAATGTTCTCCAACACAACTCCTCCCCTTTGGGGAACAGCTGAATTTATAGTGATATTTTCTATCTCACAAAATCCAAATAAAATTTCTTGAATAGTGTGATTGTGACGGCTCGGACACAATGGAAAAAAGTATGAATGGTATGAATAGTTTTTGACAGCCTACGCTCTTTCTATGCAGAAAGGACATTTTTTCTGGATTAAAATTCATTTCCTTCTCAAATTATTTGGCTGCTCCCTGTTGCTATGGTTACAGGTCGTTGAGGAAAGCCTCTTTTCCCCCCTCATACAGAAGATGCCAAAAATTATAATTGGATTGAATTTAAGCCAGAACAACCCTACAAGGACATGTTAAATATCTCATTACTGATAATATTTTTCTTTCTTCTGGCTAACTTAGTGTATATCTGATCATTTCATACTGTTGCAGATATAAACTGTGCTCAAATCCTCCAACTTTACTACAATCACTATTCACTAAATGGGTGTGAGTTATGTGTTTCCTCATGACATCATCTCCTGACTGTTCAGATTCAATTCGGGTAAAAAGCTTGTCAGCTTCACTCACATCACAGCAAAGCGTTTTTTTTACAGCTAATCTGATTGTCTCACATCGGACACCTTGGTGAGCACACGCTTTGTTAACCTGCTGGTGTGTTCAGAACAACTCCACTCACGCTTTGTTTCAGTCACAAACACTCAGCCGAGTGGGAAGAGGCTGAAGTTAGAGGAGGATGATCTCATCCTTAGATGCAGCGAGGATGATGTCAGATTTTAGATCAGAGCTCTCCTCTCGTGCTGCTGTTGAACTCCTTTAATTGTTTATGTTTTGAAGGGCCACGAGGGCCTGGGGAGGGGAGCGGGTGTGGTGAGAGGGTGGCATACACCACAACTCTGTTAGTGCCTGATACTGGTGTATAGCCATGACTGTCTGAACTCAGGAAGTGATGCTTCTGCCCTTTTATGATCATGTTTAAACTGAGTATTTGCACATTTGTAACATAAAAATGTCTTATTTGTGTGCAAAGATGTTCTCCTCTTACCTTTTATATTCTTTTGTATTATTTTTGCATATTCGTTGTCTATGTTTCCCTCCTCTGTCCTCGGGCTTCTCTCTCTCCTATTCTTGTTGTCCTTGAATCTCTCCAAAAATCTCTGTGATCTTTTATTTTCTGTCCCCTGCTCCACTTTTTTCACCTCTACCACTCTCCAGTCGCTCTTTACATCTGTCTTTGTTTCTCCATTCCTCTTCCCAATCTGCGTCCAGTGATCTCATTTCCAGGACTTGTGCGAAATGTAATGTCAAACATTCATTTCCCATCAGAGAAGGACGGTAAAGAGAACAGAGTAGCAACCACCCTGATGCGACCTCATGCATGTTTGTGTCTCTCCTCCGCCTCTTTCATCTCACACACTGGTGAACAGCATGGTGACATCATGTAGGCTGTGTGAGCCGAATGCAGGATCAGAGAGCAGCTATTGCACAGATGTTTTAAATCTGTTCTGTTACTAACAGCTTACCTACAGCTTCATTGTCTTTCATTCAGACTTTGGATGGTTTGAAAATTAATTTGGTTCCAAGAAGACATAATACAAGCAGATAAAACCAAGACTCCACCTCAGTGTTAAAGAACAAAAAAAATGTGCTGTAGATTTTTTCTAAATATTCAAACTGTAGTACTGTTAGTATTAGAAATTACTCAAAAAAGCAAAATATACAGTTAAGAAGGCACCTGACCCCGCCCTTACTTAATACCTCAGTTAGATTGCACCAAGCTGTGGTGCTCAGTGCTTTGGTACAGAAACCTCGGGGTCTGATGTTTGCTTTATGATAATTGAAGATCTTGACGTCTTTAGCTACTCCGAGGCTCTGTCCAAACATCTGGCCTAACCCCTATAGAGAGCACTAAATATGGGTTACGCCATTTTATATGAGTGTCAGAATGTCTAATGGATGAAAAATGCAACTTAAAAAGTAGTGTGCATCCATGGGCTGTTTCCGAGCATCCACCCTAATCCTAATGGGACTATAGTGAACTTGGTTAACTGAGCAGTCATGCTTCCTGCACAGTGCCTCAGGTACCTTTGTTCTTTCTCGGTCCCAAAACAAATCCCATGATGCTCTGTGAGGAGAGCTCTCGCATAGCATTCCAGGATATATCTGCTCCTCTAGTAACCATGGATGCATTCTACTTCTATAGGTGCATTTTGGGAAATTTTGAGTTCAATATTTTTGCATCCACTAGACGTTCGGACACTCATATAAAATGGCGTAACTATTATAAATCTCTACATAGGGGTTAGGGCGGACGTTTGGACAAAGCCTTAGTCTGATGCAATGGATTTTAACCTGAAAAATCCTTCGTTGAGTCTGAGTATTCTGTACCTAGATACAATGATTAAAAAAAACACCCAAAAAACATACATGTTCAAATAAGGCGATATATGCTGGTAGGGTTCACTTTTTTATGAATTCAAATCCTGCCAGAAGGTTGATAAATAATATATATATATATATATACATAGTGCAACTAGCTTCTATAGCTTTTCTTCCTTTGAAAACTTTAAAATGGTGAGTAAACAGGTTAAGGGATTTTGATTAGCTACTAATCAGAAACTTTTGTATACATAATCCTGGATACAAAAAAAACAAATAATACTAAACAGTACTCCTCTCACTGTGAGAAATCACTACAGGCAAAAGAGTAATAACTGTCGTAGTAGTGCCAGTATTGTAATTTCATTATTGCATCAGGTTGTAATCCAGACGAGATCTAACATTTAAATTAAAAGGTAGTGAAAACCAACTGCATTTAGATTAGTTACCATGGAGACAGTCAAAACAACAGTCTCCTACATAGTGATGTGAATCATCTGCTTTAAACATGACATCCTTCTGTCCAACAATTAGAGGAATCCTGATTGCTGTGCATGGAGTCAAGAAGCTCTGCAAGAAGAGAGGTTCTGTTTAGCCATTTGCTTCTCGTTCTTAAAATGTGCTTCTGTAAGAGCCCTCTGAGAAAGTTCAGTCATGAATTCACTGCATGTTGAGCTAAAGACCTTTGAAGCATTTGGTTTGTTTCTTGTGTTTACCTTTTGATGTTAATATTTTTGTGCCATCACCCTTACATTCGTCTGTTTGTGGGGAACTTTGTGATCTTTACTAGTGAAATGTTCTGGATAAAGTACTACTAAAGTTTCCACACCTCTTTACTTTAATCACATCAAACACAAAATAGTCTATTTTTTTTTTTATAGAAAACGTATTTGATCCACCACAACAGACTGGCAACCTGCTCAGGGTGTACTCCGCCTCTCGACCATAGACTGTAGAGATAGAGATAGAGGAGATAGAGGCACCGGCCCCACCGCAACCCTGAGGGAATAAGCAGGAGATGGATGGATGGATGGATGGATGGATGGATGGATGGATGGATGGATGGATGGATGGATGGTTTGAAGGATGGTATTTGATCATGTTAGGTGCATGATTGCAAAGTAGAAAGTGAAGAAAACATGTTTTTTTCAAATTCTTCTATAAGCTAAATGCATTTTATGCATTTTAATTCAGCACCCTTTACTCTGAGACCTCTTAATAAAATCCAGGGCTACAGACCAATAAACTGCATGGCTGACTAGGCAGCATTAATTACAGAAGCTGTTCAGTGAGCAGACCTGTTGGAGCTGCAGAGATATACAGCTCAGGCTGGTGAATCTGTTTACAGGATAACTATTATAGTTTTGTAAAAAGCTAAATCAGCAAGTTTTATTTTAGGTTTGCAAGGAGCTATGAAGGGAACATAAAACCTGCAAAGGACGAGGACTGAAACTGAAGATTCTCCTTTCAGCAGGACAGCGATCCACCCACAGCAACAATGGTTTCATGCTGATTGATGTGGTAGAACGGTCTAGTCAAAGAGGAGCAAATAAAAATAAGAATCTGTTTAGAGACGTGAACAATGATGCTAACAAATGCCCCAAAGAGAATTTTATCAGTTCAGGGAATCTTTTCAATAATGCAAAAGAAAAAAAAAACAGATGGGCGTTGGCAGAGACATACAACAAAGATATAAATGCAGGAAAAGGGTGTTTGACGAAGTGGATTCTAAAGGGCCTGAATATAAATACATGCCACACTTTTCAGTAATTAATTTTGTTAGAAATATTTTTTAAATCCTGTTTGCACCACTTTTGTAAGCGAAAATTTGGAAAGAAAGCAGAAGATTGTAAAAGTACTAATCTGAGTAAAGCTTTTAAAAATCTGTATGTTTAGATTAGTTTCTTTAGAGGTGTTTGTTTCAGGATGTAAAACTGAGTCTCATCTTCATTCCAAAAGGATTTCATTTTTTCCTTCTTTTACACTCTGCACCTAAATAATTGATATTGTCACATGCCTTCAAGCTCAGCCTCCTGCTGAGAAACACAGACACACAAACGGCTCCTCACTAATTTCTAACATTGCCATCCTTCTGCTCAGCACACACATATCTACACACACCCACAGTCCCACCCTCCTGCACCATGCAATAAAACACTGACTCCTACACCCACCCTGCAGTACAACACAAAGAGCTGATGACCCTCCCTCAGCTAACTTCCTCCCCTTTCCCATTGGCCGAGAGGCCTGGATGCTGGCAGTGTCACCAACCAATGAGGCGTCTCCAAGGTGATGTCATGGAGGCAGCATTGATGCTGTTGCTGATGCTGTTGCCCGGCGCCTGCATCCACAGAGCCAGACGGAGGGTAACCACAGTCAGCCGTCCAACTTCAGCAGCAGAGACCGCAGGAACAGAAACGGGGTAAGTCTAAGGAACCCAGGGTGACCCAACTGGGTCACCCTGGGTTCCTGTAGTTAAATCTGATCATATAGCTGACAGCGGGCTTTTCATGAGGGCGATGTCGGGGTGAAGCGGAGTGAGGGGGAACAGATCCACCTTGATTTGGGAGCAGAGGGAGAAAAGAATAGAACACTACTGTAATCTCTGTCATCTATTATTGATCCTGGATGACTTTAAAATGGAGCATCCCTTTATGGAGAGAAGGGTGGGGGTAGAAAATGGGGGAGGGGGGGCAGAGGAAGTCTGCAAAAAATAAAAAGGTAAAGGTGGTTAAAAAAAACAGTAAAAGTTCTGATATTCCAGCACTTTTTTATTCCCTGTAGTAATTTTTTAATATGCGTTTTAGAATCCTCTTATACTTTTCATGCAAATATAAAGTTAGATACAGCACTTTACTGAGTGACATTTAGTTTATGAAAAATTATAATTTTGGATCTGGTTGAGATGTTCTTTATTTCATGGACTCGTAAGAACTTCCCCCCTGTAATATTATTAAGGTCATTAAGAACCTGATTCTCCAGGTTTGGGGAAAGTCTGGATTAATCCTTACAGCAGCATGAGAACATATGCAAGATGGAATATAAATAAAAGAAGAGAAATTAGAAAGGAACATGTGAGTTCTTCAATCTGAAGTAGAATTAGAGAAACTATTTCAACTTTTCTTCTTTTTCTTTCTTTTTTAATAAATAATCAATGTTTCTGTTGAAGTTAGATCTTAAGAAATAACTTCAGTTTTCTTTCTTCTCAGTCTTGATGTCTACAAACTCTGCCTTCAGAAAAAAATTCACTTACTTGTAATCATGAAGCACTATCACCTTATAGGCTGCAGAAAGTCCCCATTTGGACCTGGCGGGTGTGGCGCCTTCATTTTATACACTTTCACTCAACAGATACCCGCTGACGTTTGTTACCACGGTTTCAAAGTTTCTGTCTGGTATTACTGGATGCAAAATATGTTGTGTTTTTTGATCAGATGTTCTTGTTTGGAGAGTAAACCTTTTTACATTAGTGATTGCAAATAGGAAACCCCACCCACTTTCAGCTGGTGTGTTCTTCATTGCTTTAAATAATTGTTTAGTATTAAAATATAAAAATTTGCTTTAGTTTAGTTTTTTTATAGGCACATTTGGATTCAAAAACAAATACTACAAGATTACTTCCACATAATATCACCACTCAGTTCACTGCTCTGAATGGCATTTCCCATCAGCATGGCCTCAAAGTTCCCCAGCATGTGTCTTTGTAAGCTGCTCTTCTCCGCTGTGAAAGAACAACACATGGAGCACATCCACCCCAGCAGGAAGCAGTGCATTGATCTGCAACCTTGGTGGTTTCACAAGATCGGATGCAGTGTTTGTGTGAATGTGTGTGTGGGTTCTGGAAAGCCAGCCGTTTAGGGTCTGATTAGTATGTAAAGGCTGTCCTTGTGTGTGTCCCTCCCTCTGGGAGCCATGACAGGCAGGTCATTTAAGGGTGTGCCTTGCAGCATATTTGGTCTCATTCTAGGTAGTGTCTTTCTACTACAGATTTTTTTTTTTATTTCAGTGCAGCTTGTCTTTTTCCATTTCAATGTTGGAAGCAAATGGCTAGCCTGATTTAATTACCCAGCAGGGTTAGCAAACAGAGCCAAGTTAACTGGAAATATATGCTAGTATGATGACTGGAAATGTTCAAATGTCAGAGTTTGAGGGAGTTCTTCCACAATGATTAAGTTTTCCTGACCTAGGTTGTATCAGAGCATAGGGAGGAACTGATTAGGGACCCCACCTACAGCTCAGTCGGTCACAACACCAAAAATCTGAGCAGCAAGATCTTTGTTATCACTTCAATGATGCCTGAATGTGCAAATTGAACAGAACCAGTTTTATTGTTAAAACTTTTTATTTTTTAATATTCATTTCTATTCATTTTTTTTTATCTGTCTTCTTTATTTATTTTTTTATTTTCCTCAGCTCTATCAGTGACTACTGTTCTTATGATGTAAATTTGTGTTAATGTTGGCATCATAACCAGAAGTATATATTTATATATTTGGGACCCATCAAAATGTATAAAGCAATTACTTATATGCATTTTTTCCAGTAAACTCAGTAATTTATTCATCACAACTCTCAACATTCTGCAGACATATGTTTTTTAAGTAATCATTTTGAACGAAAAGTTTAAATAAGAAAGAAATGTGAGGTAAAACATTAATTGATCAGTATAATCAACCGGTTTCCTTAATCATTGTTCCTTTACTGAATCATTGTCCTCTAAATCTGATTTCAAATTTTCTCTTTCTTAAGACAATTATTCTCCAAATCAAGTAAGTTTCTGAAACAGCTGGGCTCTTGGCAGGCCCTCTATAGCAGATGTTAGATTAAATTAGGCTCATATCAGGAGGCACCAGAGCGTCTCCACCTTTAGTGGAAAGAGTTACATGAAGTAGGTCATTTTTGGTGCTCAGAGTCTGATTCTAACCAAAAAATTAAAAAAAGCTTGGATGCAAAATGAAATTATCTCAAGGAAACCAGGGGAATTTAATCATTGTGTTCACTTACCCAAGAAAAATGAGAGGTTGCGCAGAATATGACTAGAGGTTTCATCTTCCTTAAGTCAGATTTCTGTCCGATAAGTTTTTTTTTTCAATGAGACATCTGAAATGAAGTGAGAGAAATAAGAGAAAAGAGAAAGATTTATATTTTCCCTCAGATGCACAAGCTTGGATGGCACCAGCTGACATTTTTAACGACAAAGTAATAGCAGGCGGTTATGAAATCTGATCCAACAATTTCATGCCCTGCTGCCTCTTCGTCTTGCTACACACTTTTCTTTCCCATTTTTAAATATATAATGAATTGAATAGGATTAAAGCTTGTTGCTATTTCCTGTGGCCTTTTCTTGCCACCACAAGTATTCATACTAGACCCCAGCAATATTTAAAGCAATAACGGTCCACTTCCTGATTGTTCCCCTTTGCTTTTTTGCATCTTCGAACCTCCAGCATCACCTCCTGATCTTTGAAATGAGTTTTACCTGCTGGTAGTTCAAAGAGGTTTAGGGGCTTTACATCAAAGACTGAAGGGCTATGAGGGTTCAGAGCTGGATAAGGGGAAAACAGAAAATAAGCCCTGGAAATGCAACCTCAGTATCTAAGTGAAAACCATTTTTTAAAACACAATGTTTTTTAGCCTTCAAACAAAACACGGTCACCTTCACACTTTACTGCAGCTTCCCTATTACTATGATCAAACCCTGAGAGTTGGTGCAATAGTCTGCACTAAGACTGCTCCCTCCTTTATCAGCAATCCAATCACCAGTTTGGCTCTGGTTCTAGTACCAAGGTGTACCAAGGTGAGAGAAAAGTCAGCTGGTTAAAAGAAAAATGGAACACTTGTTTTTTCATACAAAAAACACAAATTCGTTAGTTTAAAGAAACACAAAAATTTCTAATCACAAAATGTTTTAAATAAAGTTCACCCAGTAATGGCAGAGAAAAAAGCTGCCCCTCCAATTACACTGATAAAATACTGTCTCTGCTGCAGTTGGGGTTCCATTCAGCTCTCTTTTCTTTTCAGACATCAAGCCCATTGTACCAGTTTGTTGAAACTGAGTTGATAAAATCAAGTTTTCCTTTTATAGCCTTATTTATTTTAGGAGATTCAGTTGTGTTAGAGTCAGTGGGACTCATCCATCCATCACACAGCTGCAATGGGACTATCAGCTAAAATAACATTGATTATATAAATTGAAATTGTTAATTTCCATTTGGGTGCTTTTAAAGCATTTTTAACATATAACAATTGTCAGTAATGCTCCAATATGTAAAACTAATTGATAGCAGTTTGATAACTGATATCCACTTTATTGTGCATCTTCCAATGTTCATCCTTTACACATCTAAAATTATCATCATGTTAATTTGTGTTTATTTTAATATAGATGGTTGAAATGATGTAAAAAGAAGAAGCGTAAGACACAGAATCTACTTCTATAATGTTAAACTACACAAAATCATAGCTTATCTTAGCCTATCTAAACTTAGCCTAGCTTATCTTATCTAATTAATCAATAGGCTGCACATGGAGCACGGGGTAGCACTGCTGCCTTGCAGCAAGAAGGTTCCAGGTCCGATTCCCAGACCCAAGCTTATCTGCATGGAGTTTGCATGTTCTCCTTGAGCATGTGTGGGTTCTCTCCAGGTACTCCAGCTTCCTCCCACAGTCCAAAAACATGACTGTTAGGTTAATTGGCTTCTCTAAATTCTACTTAGGTGTGAGTGTGAATAGTTGTTTGTCCTGTTTGTCTCCATGTTTCCCTGCGATGGACTGGCGACCTGTCCAGGTGGACACTGCCTCTATCCCATAGACACCTGGAGATAGGCACCAGCACCCCTCACTACCCCAGCAGGGATAAAGCGTGATGGAAAATGGATGGATAGATAATTAATTTAATAAGAACTATAAAAACTTTATTAACCTGACAACCCACTGTGATACATAATTTAGCATAAATGCTACATGCTTATTTCAGATATAGGCTACCTCACTTTTTCAAGATAATGAGATGTGATATTTGATTTTTTTTCCCTCTATATTTAGAATATTATAATATTATATTAAGCTTGTGAATCTATTGAAATTTGACAGCCAATAAACACCTGAATCTGGATAACCTAATTCTAGCCTAGATATTAAAGGACTATTTAAATATTATTTAGAAGAAATGTATAATGCTCTGTAGCGCCTCCTATTGGTTTCAGGAAAAACACTTCAGTTGATTTTTGATGATCATGCATGGTGCTGGATGAAGTATTACCACTTAGGGAAGTGTTTGGAGGATTATTTTTTTTTTTCTTTTGTCACATTAAAATATTTTATATCAAGAAACAAATCAGACAAATTTAAAAGATACATTTGTATTTTTTCTATGCTTTGATGTCATCCTTTGATTACAGTTGGGTCACTTTTGTTTCTTCAAAGGTGCACTTAAAAAAAAAAGGAATAGTTCAACATTTGTCGTTTAAAGCTTCTGAGGGGCCACAGACGATCACATCTGTCATACAACAGCTTTATATGTCAGATTTGCATGTAGCCTTCCTTTAATGTATGCAACCTTTATTTAAACAGGTATATCTAACTGAGATTACAAATATCTATTTACAAGAGAGACCTGGATTAAGGTCTATACTTTGACTAGGCCACCTTTGAATCTCCATTTTCAGTTTATTTTGCCTTTCAGAGTTTGACTTGGTTGTATAGTTTGCATTACTGTCCTGCCCTGTGACTAAGGCAATTGTTTTAGCTTAATATCTCAAAGTGATGCTCAGAAAACCTCCTTTAAAATTTGATTTTTTTTAGGCAAAAATAATCTTGGTTCTAAAGAAGCCATGCAGCACCAGGCCATTACGATACCTCCACCGTGTAAGTGCATAAGTAACATGGATGACTGTTGGTTAATTATGGTCAGCAGTGGTTCTGGCCTTTGAGCCGCTCTGTGTTTGTCCACAGAGCTGGCTTCTTTTGTTATCTCTTGGATTTGTCATCCATGCACTATTGGAATAGTTTTGTTTGACAGCCAGCTCCTGCTATAAGTTGCTCTCTCAATGTGATTTGATGGATTCCTAAAATATTGTAAATTACTTTTAATCTTTTAAATGTAAAATTATTTCTTTAATTTCTTTTGATGCTTATTTGGGATCTTTAAACAGGCTTCAAGCGGTCAGACCAGTTCTGTTTAAGTGATTCCTCGATCAGATAGTAACCTGGTCTGTTCACTGCTCGTGAAGATTGTGCTTAAGTTTCATGCTTAACTGTTTTTAATCATAGTTCATTCATATTTACAGTATTGAAATGATATATTCACACACAGCATCCAAATGGTCTGTGCACATTTCTCCGTTCAAAAACTGCTTTTAAAATTTTAGGTTCTCTTTAAGTGATATCAAAAGTTATCTGATACCCTGAACGATTTCAGAATAAAGGACTCCGTTAGACGGTTAATACTTTTCATGGAACTGTACTGAAGAGTAGCAATGACAGTACAGCAATGTCATAATAATGAACAAGAAAAACATGTGCAGATGAATTCCCTCATCAAACACAACCTGTCTTTGATCCATGTCGGCATTATTAATGGCCAGTTAGGTTGGTCTACAACAAGGGATGGAAACAGACCAATAGAATGAGGTAAAAATGGGGAATTAAGACAAAAACCAAAGCTGCACAAACACACTAGATCAATGCAGAATGCAGGTTTGTTTAATCCTGTCCTCAGCCACTCTGTCTCATATTCAACGGGTGACCTTTGAAGCTGCCTCATTAAAGCCTCCCCGTGTCTCTGTGTCTGCATGTGTCCCTGGCAGAGTGAGAAGGCGCTTTGGTTTCCCTGGAGAGTTACAACCGCAGTGACAAGATGACTCTGGCAGGTAAATGCAGTCGCAGCATAAAACTCCTTTCCCCTCCCCTGCATGCTCGTTCTTTTAAGAATCAGAGATATGCTGGTTGGTGGCAGGGACTAATGGCCGTCACTGCGAAGGAGCACCACATCATCATCTTTAAATGCTTGCTCATGATCCTCTTTAATTAAGCTAAGGTCTAAATGTGTGTGTGTATATGTGTGTGTGTGTTTGTGTCCTCAGCCTATAAAGAGAAGGTCAAAGAGCTCCCCCTGGTGTCTCTGTTCTGCTCCTGCCTGAACCCACAGACTGCAGATAACACCACATATAAAGCAGAAGGTACAACTCATTTGTTTACCTCGAATCAACACAGAATTTACATTTACACTTGAAAATAACAACTAAAATAAACTAAAACCATATACCATATCCAGAACTGTTTATTTCATTTATTCTAACCTGATGTGATCAAATAATCAAAGATGCAGTGGACCTGGGCTGGTGCGTCATGAAAGATGTGGAGGTGATCGAGCTGAACAAGCGGACATCCGGCCAGGCCTTTGAGGTCATCCTCAAGCCTCCATCCTTTGATGGCCTGCCAGAACTCAACACCTCCATGCCGCACCGCCGCGACCCATCCCTGGAGGAGATCCAGAAGAAGCTGGAGGCTGCTGAGGAGAGACGAAAGGTGAGGAGCATCATATTAAACCTGTCGGGGACGGCTCTCCTCAATAACCTGCAGTTAGAAAATGTCTGTTTTGCCTTTTAGTACAAATAAGGGTTACGAAGTATTCGGTTTGACAATATTTGTCCTAATTCCCAGTTTCTCTCTATGGTTCTGAAAGGTTAACCTTATTTAAAATGTTATTTATGTGCATTTAAATGTAAAATATTTTTTTTAAGCTTGTACAAAAGCTGAATAACTTCAACGAAAAGCAAATTTGCATTATTTTTTTCAATTTATGTTGATTTTCCTTTTCACTAACCACAACTATGTAGATGTTTCACTCCAGTATTTCATTGTTTTCATGACCTTGAAAGCCTGTTTGTTCATAGTCCATTGAACCGGCACTTTACATTTACTGATGATTGGAAAAACAGATTATTTCTGTTTACATGCATGGATCTGTCGATCAGCAGACAAAGACAACCTTCTCATGTTTTTTATTTATTTTTAAACCTTAACTTTAGTGCTTTCATCATTTTATTTTTAACTTCTTTTCATAGCACTTTGAGATAGACTGATCATTTGAGGGGATCTACAAATATACTTTAGTATTTTCAATGTTACTTTTCAAGTAATTATCATTCTTACCTCCATCTCTATTTCTTTGAACCTGCTTTGTCTTTTATGGCCAATCTGTCAAACTGCCTGTAGAAACTACAGTCTGCACATTTTAATGGTAAGAACCTAATCGGTTGGCAGATCTTAACATTGGCCCAGCTGTCTATGTAGACAGCTTTTTTGACTGTCTGAAAACCAAGATTTTCCAGCACAGAAGAAGCCTCCACTAATATAAACCATTGGTGTTGCTACACTTTGAGTACCTACGTAACAGAATAAATACATTTAAACAGAACTTTTTAACATTTTTGAACCAATTTAGCACTTTACGTCCCACCGGTCTCACGGTGAGGATGGTGAGCTACATTGTACACTGCAAAAAATGTAAATCTAAATAAGTNGACAGAAATGAGGCTGCTGTATACAGGCATGACCGGGCCCTCTGACCACCATCAATAGGCAATCAATGCAGAGGGAAGCATTTTGCCCAAGGACACAATGACTGAGAGGGATGGAGCTCGAGTTTAACCGGGTGACCCTCCGGCTGCAGGACGGACTCCTGCATCCTACGCCATTGTGGCGCTAGTTAAATCTCCTGCACTTCATGGCCCAACAAAAACACCAGATGTCATTGAGACGTTGTTTTTTAGGCTTAATCTGGTCGGTCCTCCATAGTCCAAAAATCCTTGTTGAAAATGTGTTTGGTTGGTCTGATTTTGTTCCACTTTAGTCCAAAAAACAGAGATTGAAAAGACAAAGCAAACCCAGTTTTCAACGTCTTTTCAACAATCAGAAAATGATGACTTTTCACTTTTCAACCACATGTAGACATTATTTGGACATAAATCCTATCATCTTTACAATTTTTTTGAAGCAATCATTGCTCATTGGGCCCTGTCTCATATTCATTCTTTGGTCAGCACCCCTGTTAAAAACTAAACCAACATGACAAGGGGTCTTTGCTCTGTCTCCTCATCAATTTATGGGTCCCAGACAAAATAACATTGAAGACCCATGATCTGAACTATTCTACAGTGATAAATCGCTCCTTAAAACATTGTGATTTTTGATTGCTTTACTTGTTAAACATTTGGGCCTTGCTGTTTTCTTTAAAACATTAAAATCTAATCTCATCATCTTGTGTATCGTCACGCATCATGAGCCAGTTAGATCATTTCCACCCCCCTTATTTCTGCGTTAGTGCTCATTTAGAACAGGAAACTCATTGTTACAGATGGCAAAATACCTTGGATTTTGTGATAAATACTTCAGTTTATTCATATAGAACCAATTCACATTTCATCTAAAAGTATTTAATAGAGACAATTTAGTTAAATCCTGCAGAAAGAACCATATAATGAAAACATTGTGGGGGTTTTAAAGTTCTTCTGCGGTGAAGACATAAGTTATATATTGCTTATATTGCTTAAGCCAAAAGTTGTTTTGGCTAAGCTCTGATTTTAGAGTTGGCTCTGAGTTATTATATGTTAGAAAGTTGTGCTGCAAGATGTCTTTGTTCAAAGGGAGAAAATGTTGTCTATCAACAGAATCATTTGGCTTTTAAGTCACTTCAGTAAAGTACAAAAAAAAAAACCTACAATTTTAAAACCCCAAAAGCAGAATCATCACAGGTTAAATGGGCTTTTCTGTAAAGTGCTCTTTCTCCCCCTAGTGCCAGGAGGCTGAGCTGCTGAAGCACTTGGCAGAGAAGAGGGAACATGAGCGTGAGGTCATCCAGAAGGCCTTCGAGGAGAACAACAACTTCATCAAGAACGCAAAGGAGAAGCTGGAGCAGAAGATGGAGGCGAACAAGGAGAACAGGGAGGCCCTTCTGGCGGCCATGCTGGAGAGGCTGCAGGAGAAGGTAGGACCCAGCAGCTCAATATATGGTCTGTTTATGAAAAATGCTCCCAAACCTCTAACTTCCCAGCTCATGAAAGAAAGGAAAGAGGCCAGTTCTTCGATGTGAATGGTAGGTTAATAGTTTGATTTTGATTAATCTTGGTAGATTAATCAAAATCAAAGGGAGGGAAAGAAGATCACAGCAGGGTCAGATGAATCAAGAGCTTTGAATATTTCTTTACAGCCTGGAGACAGTTGCTGTTTACTTTTCATCCACTTTACAAGTTCCTTCATCTGGATCATTTTTCCATTTTCTGTCCAGTTTATGATTAAATATTTATGCAGACATTTTACTTCACATATTTTCCTCTGATTGCTCTCCAGCGGTCGCTGCTCAGCCTTGAGTTTCTGAGAAAAAAAACAGTTTCAATATTTCCTACTTTAATTTGTTCTCTCGCTTTTCATCATTTTGCTGCAATTGATGCCAGCACACTAAATCTGAGAGAAGCTTATCTTGATCTATAGCACGTGATAGAGCTTTCATATGTCATTGTTTCTGGATCTAATAAACAAATCCAACTCATCACATAAAGCATGCCGGTGTGGAAAAAGGCCTCTTCTATTCAAGCCTGTTTGCTAAATAAGATGTTTTTATGATTAAAAGGGACAACATCAGAGAAATACCCGTATTTATGTCAAGAGGCATTTCAGCATCTGCTAACCAAGAAAAACCTCTAACACCCACAACCGTGTCGTGTAGAGAGCAGTGGGAAAGTGCTGAGCTGGCCTAAATGACTAAGCAGTTGTGACAGATATCTAGCAGCCGCAGCTCTGGTTAAACATGGACTGCATCTCAGAACCCTGGGCCGCTGGAGTTGGCCTTTTCCCTTGTTTTCTGTCTATAGTCTTGTGGTGGGACGTTTGACAAGAAGCGATCAAAATGAGCGAGACGTGAACGGCGATAACATTTCAGCAAAACTGCTGACAGTTTGCTTTCAGCCTGCAGAATTTTTATGCTTTGCAGCATGATCTAAATGTTAGGACATCCTCAGGCCTCAGGCAAAGAGCTGTCAGGTCTTAGAAGAACGTAAAAATTCTCCGGTCTTCGTAATAGTATCAGGTCATAGGTCTCAGGAAACGACGGAGCACTTTTAAAAATTTTTGTCAAATCTTAACCAAACAAGCAAATATTTGAGTTTAGCACAACTACATTCTAACCTCAAACCACATCTCTCCCTCTGGAATGATTTGTTTGAGCCAGAGTGGATTGGTCGAGCTCAGGCAATGACGCTGGCAAAACAAAACAAAAAATTGATTAAATGTGTACATATGGGCGTGCAGGTGGTGCAGTGGTTAGCGTGCATGACCCATGAATGGAGGCCTTAGTCCTCGATGCGGCCGACCCGGGTTTGAATCCAGTCTTTTGTCCTTTGCTGCATGTCTCTCCCCCTCTCTCACACTCCCTTTCTTGTCAGCCTACTGTCAGAAAAACGGGCCACTACCTGTAGTGCTGTAAAAACTCAAACAAAACAAAAAATGTATATATTATTCTTTCTGTGACTCAAAATAAACTCTGACAATGTTTTTAGGTGAGAATGTAGCTTAGTAAAAATCAATTATCTGCCTGGTTGGTCAAGATTTCGCTCCATTTTAAAAAACTTAATTTCTAACACCTGATAATTTTTCCTATGACCTAATAACTTATGACCTGGAGTTGTCCTTACACTTACACCTTACAGAAACTCAAAATGTCTGTAGAACTAAAGTCTGTTGCATGTATTTTTATTTATTCCCCAAACAGAGAATTTACTACTCTAACATATGAATGGGATATTGTTGCAGCTCTTAATGAGTGTTTTCAGTTGTTCTGATGAAAGGCAAACCTCTGCTGGAGTCTCTGGTCTTTCTTTTCCTCTAAAATTTCTCGTATTTATCTTCTTATTCCATCCAATCTTCCACCAGCTTCCCTCCCTCTGCTAAAGAAAATTCTCCCCACACCATGATGCTTTGACCACCTTGTTTCAGAGTGGGGATCTGAGCTCAGGTTTATGTGTGTTAGGTTTTTGGGTTTTTTTTCCTCAGCACACACTGTTTTGTATGTAGGCCAAAAAGTTTCATTTTGGCCTCTTCTGACTTTCTTCTAACCTCTGTCTGACTTTAAAGACTGAAAACCCAGTCGACAACGGCTCTGTAGGTTGAGTGACTAATAGTATTGCAGACAGTTTCACCCATCGGAGCTGTGGATCTTAAGGCTCTTCTTGCTCAAATCATATTCACATGTTTGAGTAGTAAATTCTTTGTCCAAAGAATAAATAAAAATACATGCAACACACTGCAGATATTTATTTTTAAACCTGTGTATAAATATTTTAGATATCTCATCAAAAACAATGAAATCCACTGTAGTTCTACAGACATTTCAGATTCTGCAGTAAGGTGTACGTTTAATGACATCTACAGGTCTCCAGGCATTACCATGTTCTCCCTGACCTGCCTGCTTTGCTCCTCCACCTTCATGATTGTTATTGTTCTCTACCAAACCTCTGATTCGTATTTGGAATAAATCACCTACAGGTGGACCCTGTCTACTAAGCAGATGATTGGTTGTACAGGATTTTATGTTTTTTGGAATCAGAATAAAGCGACCATAATAAAAATGAATGCCAAATATATTAACTAACACGTGAGGTTTTACTATGGAGCTCACTTTAGAGAGCAGCAGGTTGCTTTAGATTTTATTTAGGGTATCAACATAAAGGGGATTGACATGCATGTAAGAATCACTTTTTTAGATGTTCTTTTTGTAAAACTTTTAGAAAATCTTGTTATATGTTTCTTCTGTTTCTCAGAAAAGCCCAGTAACGTGCTTAAAGCTTGTGGTTGTGGTGTGATCAAATGTGACAAACCTGGCATAAATGCTGATGAATCATTTCCCCAGAGTAAATACAGGCAAAAACACACTTTCCATTTGTTTTTTACATCATTCAGAGGCCTGATCCATATTCATCAAAGTTAGATGAGGTTAAAAAAAAAGACTTTCATGCCCATCTGACTCATTACTGCCAAGGAATTCATGAATATTGATGACTCTGGTGTTTCCCCTCTCTCTGTGTCTGTGTGTGTCTGGCAGGATAAACATGCAGAGGAAGTGAGGAAGAACAAGGAGATGAAGGAGGAGGCGTGCCGATAGATGCAACGGAGCCAGAAGAAGGGACAAAAATAAAGGGAATCCGACAAACAGACATAAAAAAGGACATAACAGCGACTTGAATGAGCTTCAGAGAAAAGCTTTTACATTGGATGTGTGCTGTCAGACCTCCTGTGCTGTACAAAGTTTAACGATGCTTGATGTATAAGGGGAACTGGTTTAGGGGAACTGGTGGGGTGGGCGGCTACATCAACACAAACAAGTATTCAACATCCATGATTTCTTCTTTATTGCAGAATGAAAACACAATCACTTCTTTCTTCTTTATTGTTTCTATCAGAAAGCAGAAAATTAAAATTGCCTGAGTTAAATTTTTACCAGCGAGTGAATTTTCCCTCATCACCGACTGTTAGCTTGGCAGCAACACAGAGAGAAAGACGCAGAAAGTTTTTTAATAAGTCTACAACTCTGGATCAAACGCAATGATTTGAACTTGTATTTTGGTTAAAATGAGTTTTACAGGTTTTACAAGCTGGAACCAAGAGCTGGGCCACAACTTGTTAAGACTCACCAATTCAAAGCTTTCAAATAAAAGTTTTCTCTTTATCCAACTTATAAGAACTAAGCAGTAAAGCTAAAACCTCTTCTGCATTCTTCCATCTTTGCTATAGTATTAGACGTTACTTTGAGTCTTTTTGATTGGAGCACTAATTGCACTCTTCTGTCATGAAGCACAACTCAAAAGCACATATGCATTCCAGAGTTATCATAAAGAGTAAAATGAAAAATAAACAGCAATCATCCTCACTTGGTGATTTAGTTACAACTTCATGGGTTTAATGGTTAATCTGCAGGCTCTGCTCAGCCTGTGTCGCTCTGCTCTCAATGTTTCTTTATTATTTTGAAGGGAACTGGAACTGAAAAATAATCTGCCCAAACGTTCCAGTCATACTGACTACATCCTGGCTTGACTTAAAACATCTTAATGTTTATACTCTAACTGGGGAGGAAACAGGGAGTTTGGACTTGCTGTAACTGTGTGTTGCTGTGTATCAAAGGGTGGACTGGTTGTATTCATTTGGCATGATTAGTAAAGACAAATAGCTTAATTCAATTCATGGTTTGGTCTATTTATTTCCCTTTCAACTATAATTTTCTAACCAATTAGTTTCGGCTTATTAAACTAAAGACAAAAATTTGATTTCTCATAGATTTTTTTTGCAAAAAACGTAAACATAAATCAAACATAAGCTCAGTTGACTGAATTAATCTTTAATTTCCGATTGCATGGCGGAAAAAAAAGGTACGTAGACAGAAAAGCAACAAATAGCAGGAATTAATCAGTTGTTGCATAACTCTTTTTCCAAAAAATATATTTTAATCAAATACAGCTGCAAATAAGTTTTTATCCCTTGTGTAAACAAACAATCTGTTCTGACATAGTCAAGAAGAGTGGAATTTCAAAGAAATAAAACAAAACAGAAAGCAGTAACATCATTAAAATGGTAAACATATACACTGCCATATATGCATATGTACTAACAAACCTGACATGTACAGAAACTGTTTTTAACTGATAAGTTAAGTATGAAAAACAATACTGAACATAGAGCAAAGAACTGCAACAATTAGGCAGATATAAAAAATATATTTTAAGCTTTTAGCTCATAAAACACAATCAGGAGAAAAGCATTGGAAGGAGAATAAGTGAATAAGTGCAGTGATTTCTAATAGAGCTAAATACTGTGCTGGGCCATTCTTTTCGTCCAGACATCAAACATCCCCATAATGTTAACACGGCTCTAAAATTCAGCTTTGGTTACAGAAAATAAGACATTTTGATTAGAAGCTGACTTTATAGATATTAGCTAAAAGTACAAAAGAAAAAACACTTTTTAACTGAAGATCTGATCTAAATAATCTATCTATCTATCTATCTATCTATCTATCTATCTATCTATCTATCTATCTATCTATCTAAGTGGTATTTGATATTTACACATAGTGAATATTTCATCAAAATGGTATCAGGTGGTTAATTACCACTAAACGTATTAGAAAGAAAGACCATGTTGGTTCACATTTACCAAAAAATGAAAACTAGAGTGAACTGGGAAAATAAATACATAAACCCACCCAGGCAAAGAAACCCAAACAGATAAAGCAAAAATAATACAGCCAAAAAAATAACATTTCTGTAAATGTATTTTGCTGATTTTTACACAGCTTTAATTTGTTCTTCAGAATGAATGGATTTGCTTTAACTTTTTTAGGATGTACCTCCACTGAGGAGGTTATGTTTTTAGGAGAGTTTGTCTGTCTGTATACAGGATAATTTGAAAAATTATAAACGGGTTATAGTAACATTTCTACCAAAGGTTCGCCTCAGTCCAAGGAACAACCCGTTATTTGTTGATGATGGAACTTTTTGAAGGATCCTGTCAATACAAGTATTAACTTAAGGTGTCATTATATGTAGAGGAAAATGAGCTACATGGTGAACGTCTGCTCTCTCCAGGTGTTTTTCTAGTTTATCTTAAGATCAAGAGTGACAAACAATTACAACATCAGACGCGCATCTAAAAGATGACATGGAGGAAATTATCGAATCGGCAAAGCTGTCCTGTTCTGCTAAATTCTGCATGAGGTGTCTCATATCCATGTTAAAGGCAGTTCAGGCAATCATGGAATTCGTCTTAAGGGGTTAGAGCTCTAATCTTGCCTGTCAGCTACATTTTTACCATATTTTGTGTTTTACAAGCACATAGTAAACCATCTTGTCCCATTTTGACCTTCTTCTTCCAATCAGCTCAAAGTTCTGCTAAATGTCCTTCCCTTCCTAAAACTGGTTTGATAGGAGGAGGTCCTGACTGAGAAACCTAGAGTGCATATATTGAATCGAACCTACCAGGTTCTCTTTATATACAATAAACATACGCTTCTTACTTGATATATTTTATATCTGTACAAAACCCCATTTTAACAGAAGATCCTTTAAAGCAAGCCTGGTTTGCTGCTTGATCTGAAGAAAGACAATCAGTTAATGTTTTGTTGTTGTTTCTGCAAAACTACATACAAGTCACATATATGTGGTATTTAGAATATTTAGTTAAGAGCCTATAAAAACTTTATCTCATGCAACGCTATGTAGATGCTCAGTCTGCACTAATGAAGATTTGCTCACCCTCAGCAGGCTGAATGTTTTAAGCTGCTCCAACAGCAAAGCAGCATGACCTGTTTTCTAAATAATTCAGATAATAACTATTTGACCTTTTGGGAGTAGACAGTGTTTTAAACTTTATGTCCAGTTGGTCAGGAGATTTTTAGGGGTGAAAAAAAAAGAGACAGTATGGGAAAAGAAGAGTTGAGCCCTGTTAATATAAAACCTGTCATCAAAATACAAGCAGGGGATTTATCATAGGAGACATATTACTTAATAAAACAGGGAGATCTTTCTGAATTTTTATAAATTATAGCTACATCAGAATACATGGCATGAAGAGACAATTGTAAAAATCAGCAATGGACTTTAAAAACATGTTTTTATATATATTTGGGCACTAAGAGCAATCTAACAAGTTTAAAATGAGAGAAAGTTCTGGTGGAACACAATAAAATGTCATCATATATAATCATAATTCATCTCTCTTAGCTTAACCTGCTAAAATCTCACAATAAGGACAACAGACCTCTGGTTATAATTAAGCTTGGGAATCCTAATAAAGTGGCTTACATGAAGATATTAAGGACACCAAGTGTGTTGGAAAGTGAAAAACACAAGTCACAGTTGTCAAAAAAAATCTTATTTTATCTACAGCAATAAATACAGTTGAAAGCAGATACAGTATCTGTTCTCTCCTGTATCTGTGTCAACCAAACCAAACAGACAGTAGATGATATGGTCGATACGTGTCACCAGAGCATCTGTTGGACGTGTTGTTACTCCTGTGGTATCACATTGGGTCTCACGCAAGTACAGCCGACCGTGATCTCTTCCGTCCCCAGCTTAAAGACATACTTCTTCTTTGCCTTCTTCCCTGGTTTCTTGTTCTTTTTTTCCTTCAGGGTTCTGTAGAGGGATGGTTAAAACATAGAAAGTTTAATGTCTGGTTAGAAATAAAGTTGTTGAGTTTCAGGTCTCTGCCTCCAAACAACTTTGCAAAAAATAAGGTCAAACCATAAGGTCAAATGTAGAGTCTGTAAGGTCCACCTCCGTCTCAAGGCTTAGTCTAACTTCTTTACATTACCGCTTTAATTTAAAAAGTTAAAAACTTCATAAACTATGTAAAAATGTTGAAAAGCTCATTTAAAATTTTTAAAAAGCAACAACCCAAGTTTCTGTGTTATGCTTCAACAAAAAAAAACAAATCTTAAAAATCCATTGTTTCCTCTGTCTTTAGATTATAAATTATACAAAAAGCAATCTTAGCCTAAGAGCGCTCACAGACCGCTGGATGCTGTTTAGATTCTGCCAACGCAATGTCATTAGAAAACTGTTTCCAAAATAACTTTTTAAACATAGGAGTTATTTATAGGAACCAAACCCTTAAAAATACAGCGAGTTCACAGCTAATCTCAGTACTACGTTTAGATTGGGATGATATTTGTGAAATTAAAAACAGAGACAGAGAACAACAGAATGTTTCTCATGCCGAAAATGTTTTTAAAAGGTTGAAAACAGTAAATGGGTGTTCCCTGTAATCATGTTGGTTTTCATCTCAGCTTACTTTCACTGAGGATGTTATTTTAAAACAAGCCTAACATCTGATGCGACTTACTTTTTAAACAAGTGTCTATTCTTCACAGATGTTCCCAGCTCTTATGCTCTATCCTGCTCACTGTTTTTTTGTTTTGTTTTGTACACAAGCAGATCAAAAAACTAAACTAGAGGCTTAGCATAGAAAAAAAAAGCTTTCTAGCGCAGAGGCTCACCTGTACAGAACCAGGACCTGATATTTAATGGGTTTGGCCTCCAGAGATAAATCCTCATCTCCCCTGTAAAGGTTCAGACAGCCGGACGTGCTGCAGTTGGCTTGTAAGATCCTCTCCGGGAAACGATGCGGGTTTACAGAGTCTCTATATGGAGAGGGAGTCAATCAAGATATGTAGAGTGAGAACTATTCCACTTGGAAACTAGATATGTGGAACTAATAACCCTTAATTAAAGGCAGCATTGACTTAACAGTATCAGTATCAGTGAGTACCAACAAATAGGGCACTGATACCATTTATAGAGCCAAAAGTTTATTCAACTATTGTCACCCATTACAGGTAGGCAATAAAAAGTTCTACTGGATTCACTTTGTTTTAGTCTTTTTCCTGCTTCACAAAGGTAGGCAGCAGCTTCACAAAGCCATGATGGCAACTATTTTACATCCAAGTAGTTTGCAGTTCATCATATATACACACACACACATATATTTCAAACAGATGGTATCAGTATGGTATCGGTATTGGCTAATACTGCACAGCCAGGTATCGGTTATCATTATTAGGGCCAAAAAATTGCATTGGTGCAACACTTCTTAAAACAGCAACTGGCTTCAAATGAGCAGCAAGTCTGTAAAGCAGTTAACTGCATGCTAGAACCTGAGCAGATAACACAGATAATAACCAGAATGTACGCTTTTTTATGTGAAAACCACTGGACAACTTAAAATAACCATGTGTCCATTTGGACCATTTCAGTGGGAAGTTTTATACCCGTTTTGATAACTGACTGTTTAAATAAATTCTCATACTAGTAAGGAAACGTCCTTAAATGGCAAAGACTGCCAAACATGTTCAGATAATATTATATAATAAACAAATACGATTATTTCATATAATCATTTATCCCCATAATCAGTTCCAACATCTAAATCCAATGAAAGACATAAAATTGTGTTTTCATGAGAGAAATGGATGGAGTAAGGGACAAATATATTTGTTAAATAAACATTCAAAGAGGTGATTTTACCAGAAACTATTGTCAGAGTAACTTCTGTCAATATATATTTGACATAAAATGAGCGGTTGATTATAAAGCTAGGGTTTTATGGTTTAGGGTCTCTGCGTGAAAAATTTGCAATAAAGTAATCTGATTCAAAAACTAAGCAAGCAGCTCATTTAATTTCAGATGTGGAAAAACCCCATGAGTGTTTCTTTCCTAATCCGTTTAATGTGTGCAAGATGCTTCTTACTTCAAGGACATCGTTAAAATTCCTTTCGACTGCGGTGGGAGTGTTTTCGTGGTTGAGTTACAACCAGAAAAGCTCTAAAACAGATAAAAAGCACTGTTCATCTGTCAGCATGTATAAAGCATCTAAATGGGCTGAAAAATGAAACCTAAACTGCTTATTTTAGCGGTTCTGGTTTGAATGGTTGCAACCAAAAACGTCCAGGTCATTTTTTTCAGAACCTTTGAAACTCACTGATTTGTAAAGATTTTTTTCTCTGTTTTTTTTTAAGATAGGAAGGAAATAAAACTTCTAAAATCCACAGGAATTTGTTTTTTTAGAAGTTATAAATATCAACTCCTGCTTGTACCGTTTCTTCAACCCAGACAGTCTGAGGAAATACTTCATCTACGGAGGGGAAATAACCTCAACAATGCAGCATGTCCTCCAACAGATGTGGATCCTCTGCAATGGGATAATTCATTTATAATCACAGGCCATCGATTCCAGATGTTCTGATGTTCTAGTCTAAGACTGAAAAATAAAGCCTGTCAGCCCTGGGGGCTGTGCAGCAGAGCAGCGGCGTGTGGTGTTTCCTCACATGTAGGTCCACGGTGACAGAGACAAGTTGGCAATGCTTGAGTCCGACCTGATGGAGAGGTAGGAATACGCAGATGGATCCAGAGCCAGTTTCACATTCCTTCCCTTCGGCCTGACCTTCTGCTCCAGCGAGATCAGACGTTTTTTACCAGCAGCAAGAAGCACCGAGGCGAAACCCAGCAGGAGAAAAACTCTCACCACCTAAAAAAAGTCCATAATGAGATATGTGTCTTCTTAAAGTTCTGTTCTTTTAACCTCTGGATATTATGATGTTAATAGATTGGAAAGCAATAAACTGATTATTTAATGCATTAACATCATCGGTTTTACAACAGTTCTCTTATATAATAATCTCCTTTCCCAAACTACATATAGAAATAATCAAGCACAGTGATAATACTGAGTCATCTAACCCTTAATTCACCCTGTGATGAAATCTGATGTAAATTGGAGATAAGTAAAGTCCTCTAACTCACCATCAGCATGACTGCGTCTTCTCTGTGTTTCAGCTTCGACTGCGGCGCTCCTGTGCAGTCCTGCTGGCTTCAGGCAGTGTTTATATGCAGGCAGGCCGTATTGGTGTGTGTGCTGCCAACATGTGCAGCGACGCGCATTTCCGCCATGCCTTTCACAGATTTAGGTCACTTTTTTCTGCTTTTCTTTCTCTGTTTTCTGTTGTTTTGTTGTTTCTTTTAATTTTATTCTCATTTGTTTGATTCGCTCTCACCTTTTATGATGAGTTTGCATTTTTTTCTAAACATAAAATAACACAAAGTTCCCCCTGTGGGAAAGTTCAAAGGTGACACCTTCACAAGTGGGTCAGAAGAGCGAAAATGTCTTCTCACCTATAGAACAGTGCATTTCCTGTTACCTGCAAATAAAAAAATGGTTTTGTATAAAACAAAAAAGTGCAATGTCGGGGTTACAATTTTTGGTTTATTACAATTACACTGCAAAAATTTTCTGAAATGAGTAAATATTTCTTAAAATTAGTGTATGTACCCTTAATTTGAGTAGGAAATTAATTGATCTGCCTATAGAAGGAACATTTTTACCATTTAAAATAGGTTAATTAGATATTATGCACTTGAAATAAGAGTCTGCAGTTGTTTTTTTATTGTTTTAAATGTTAATTGTCTTATTCTATTGGCAAAGTGTATCAATTGCCAGCTCAATTCAAGAAAATAATTACTTATTTTAAGAAAAAATGACTTAGATTTACATTTTTTTACAGTGTAAAAATTAGCAACTAATCTACAGCAAAAAATCGATTTCAACTCATTTTCTTTATTTAAAGTGATGCACTGCCATCAGTACACAAACTGATTGGACTTTTATTATTAAAATAAACCCATCAACACGTATCATTCAAGCTTTCCCTCAGTTTTAATTCTTAACTTTTTTTATTTGCTTCAGTGAGTCATTTAGTGGATTAGGCTTGTAGCTACACCTACACACTGCCAACACACTCTTAACATGTAGGTCAAGGAAATGCTGACAGAGATTCTTGTAATAAATCAGCATAACTCCAAAGGTATCTAATGTGATAACATCTTCTCGCCTCGAGCATCATATATGAGTAAGGACCCGAACAAACTGGAGCACAGCTTTTCTGGACAGCAGAGGAACATGTTTCTGAGCACCAGGCCGTCTGGCACCTCTTCTCCCAGCGACATGAAATGCTTCACAAGATGCTGTCACACAGAAAATCAGATAAATGCACCACTGATCAAACAGGTTAAAGGGTTTAGTGCAGCTAAATCCCACACTCAGCCTCTCTAGATGTAGTTTTCTGAAAGTAAAGATGGGTTTTTCTTAGGCTTCCATGTTCTACTTCAATGAATCTGTTCTTTACTAGGTCAATAAATTTCTTTGGAATACATGTTATGCAGGTTTTAGGTCAAAACAATGCAGTAAAATATGTGAAGCAGAAGATAATTATGAATTCACATCACATGTAATCTCAAAGCACTTTACAGTTTACCAGATCATACAGTCAGATTGATTCAAAGTTTTCTATCTAAGGAAAACCAGTTGATTGCATCAACTCATTGACTCAAATGCAATCCCTCACACTTAGCATGCTTATAGCGACAGTGGAGAGGAAAAACTATCTTTCTGAAGGAAGAAACCTCCAGCAGAACCAGGCTCAGTGTGAGCCATCTGCTGAGGCCGACTGGGGTTCATTATATTTATTGAAGTCTTGACTGTGGCAGAGACAGTAATATGCTTTAAGCCAGAGGTCTTCAATGATTTGCAGGCCAAGGACCCCCAAATTGATACTGAGATGGTGGAGCGGGGCCCCCCTTTATTTTATATTAAATTGTGTTATATCAAACAGGTCCTACAGATGGAGTCATGTAATGAAAGTAATTTCTCCCTGGGATTATTAAAGTATTTCTGATTCTGATTCCTGGTTGATGGGACAGGTGTTGTGAATGAAACGGTGCCCAGCTTGAAAGAGCTCCTGTGTGTCGCTGAATGTGTGCATTGATGTCTGAAAGACATCTTCTGCCTCCATTTATCTGTTTACTACAGTGTGTTGAATACAGGTTAATATGTTTTTAAAGATATTTCAATTAGTGGAAAAAATTGCAGTGGGGAATATAAAAAGTCTAATCAACCAAAACTTTCACGACCCCCATGCAGTACCTCTGTTGACCCCCTAGGGATCACGGACCCCCATTACATTACTTATGTCATCGGCGGGTTTAACCCAAACCTCAAAAAGGTTTAATTTTCCAAAGTCAGCAACAATGTTTTTTTCAGAACTTTGACATTTAAATATTTTGAGACAGGTTGCAGCCGTCATATTTTGGTCTAGGGCTGGGCGATATAGAAAAAAAGCTTATCGATAAAAAAAAATGCATATTGATCGATATCGATAATTATTGAAAAGATTTGAAACCATAGTTTATGTGCAGCTCTGCCTGGACATTTTATGATATTGCTAAATAATTTAATTTTAATAAAGAACA